GCCAAGAAAACAACTAAAAAAAATAAAAACAATTGATATTATATAGAATTTAAGTCTTCTCAAAAACAAAAATTCTTTCAATAGATTTGTATATTAATAAAGTCTTCTATATGACATTTTTAAAAAATTAAGGAAAACGATATGTGTACAAAAATATGATAGAATATGAAGAATTTTCATGTGATTAGCAAGAGCAGCTAAATTGTATTTTTATATTTTAATCCCATAGGGATTGTGCTAATATATGATTAATTAGCATTACCATTTTTCTTTCTTCACAGAATTCGGTCTAAACGAGATATATCTTATGAGAAAGGTAGAAGAGATTATTAAAAACAAAAAAGTGATACAACTTTCAAAATAGAGATGGGTAACAGACGTCCAAACAGGCCATTGAGCCTGCTTAAGCAGGCAGACAAACTTTTGAGAAAACGCGTTTTCTCAAAAGTTTGTCTGCTTGGGAATTGCTATGTTTTTTTCTAAATTTTCAATAAAAAACTTCATTTTTTGAGTAGAAAGTGTCAATATCATATGGAGAATTTTTTACTCAAAAAAGTGCTTTTTTTTCTAAACGTTGAAAGCTTCCTAGACCTAAACAGACAGGCCAAGCCGACGTAAAAGTAAACCTGTTTGGACCTCTGATGTGTAAGGTGTAAGCTGCTTTCTTTTTTTTTTTTTGTATCCTGACTGATAAATCTTATATTGAAAAATGAAACTACATACGATGCTTCATGTTCTCGAAATGGTGATTGTGGTATTGAATTTCCTGTACCAGATTCTTGATCATCATCATTTGTTGTTCGTAATTGATTTTGATGATAATCTCTATACAAAAATTTTATTAATAAAAAATAAAAACTAAATATTAATATTTACAATTGTGGTAAATAAAGAGATCGATCAACACTTTGATTATTTGTTATTTCATCAAGATAGACACCTTCTTTTGGTGTATTTTTTTTTGATGATGATGGCCATAAATATCGAAAAACACTTTGTCGTTGTTCAGGTAATTCACCCCATTTCCATTGCCAACGTACATTTGATGATTGTTGAGAAGGTTTATCTAATTCATATTCTGTATCTGATTTTGGACTTGTTGGTCGTGGTGATAAAACACTAAAATATAGATTAAATTTTTATTAAAACAAAACAAAACAAAAAATCGTTTTTTTTTACCTTTCATAAGTTGATGTTGGTGAATATTCTTCATGTCTATAAAAATCATCTGATTGATTTATACGAAGATTATTTGTATTTACAATTGTATCTAATGGTGCTGATTTTGATAAAACAGAATTAATTAATGTATCTGATTCTTCAATAGATTCTATTTTTTTATCATATTTTTGTTCGATTATAATTGGATTTGATAATGTTCTTGGTTTTTGTTCATTAATATTATCTGAATTTTCAATAGAAAAATTTTCTTGATTAGAATTTATTATATTTAAATCAAGTGTTTTAGGTCGATTATCAATATTATTAAAACAATTTGATTCATCAATAAATGTTGATAATTCTGTATCAATTTGAAATAATGGTAAATCATTTTCACTAGCACTACGTTTACGTAAAAGTTTAATTGATGTACATATTTGATCATTATTATATGTTGGTGTTAATATATTTGTATTTTTATTTGTTGTTATTGATATTGATTCACGTTTACGTGCACGTGAACGACGTTTTAATGATGAATATTGATTAAATATATCTTGTTCATCATCTTCACTTGTTTGTTTATTATATTGATCAATATGATTATTAAATAAACGTCGTTTTGGACGACGACGTGTTGATAAAAATATATTTGAATGAAGTACATCAATATTTATTGTTGGTTTAGATTCTTGTTCATATAGATTATTTTCATTTGAATCTTTTTTTTTATCAAGTTGTTTATTTATTAGTTGTACTGAACAATCAATATTTGATAAATGTGTATGAGAATTTATATCTGTTGATAATTCTATTGCATTATCTGGATCAAGAAATGTATTTGTATTTGATGGTTCTAAATGACGAATTGGTTGATTAATAGGTGTATTCTATAAAAAAACGAAATTAATAAAGATTTATTGAAAAAAATTTTTTTTTTTTTGTTCAATTAATATACATCATTTTCTTCAATGAAAACAGCTTCACCGGCTTCACCTAATTGCATATATAAATCTTCAACAGGAACATCATTTATTGTTATATAAACCTAAATAAAAAATAAGAATATATTAAAGTTATTTAATACTATGTCAGACTTGAAATCGGTCAAGTTTTTTTTCGACCGGACCGGCTAGTTTAGTTACAGAATTCAATTGGCAAAACACCAGAAAGACAAAAATAAGCTAGAAAGGTCGCTTTTTATGCTCCACGCCATATTTTAGCCTTTTTAAATATCTGCGAATTTTCACAGTTGCAGAAGAATAGTAGTTGGTAGAATGTTTACAATGACAGAAGATCTTTTTTAATATTCAAATAATAAAAGCATGAACTAGCTATTGGAAGTTTCTGACTGCCAGTAACAAAGTCTAGAAAAGTAAACGCGAAATCTCTCGAGCAGCAGAATCTTTAGTTTAAACTATATTTAGGTTCTGATGGGTTGTTAACTTTTCATGATCATAATAAATTCATTCAGAGTAATTCGAGATCCTTACCATACGACGAAAAAGCGAGAGTTCAAAATTTAGAGCTAGAAGTTGCATGACAACTATAAATTTATCAGTGAAAAATGTTTACACTCATATCTGTAAGTCATGAAAATCAATAAAAACGAGCAAAATACACTAATTTTAATTTTCGTGTTCTAAAATTTGATAAAAAAAAACGGTTTTAAAAGTGAGACTGGACAAATCGCTCCGGTTCCAAGTATGGACTATGTTTCTCGAACAAAAGGGTTAGTTAGAAGAATTGTTAAAACAATATCACTACTACAACAATAATCTCATCTAGAAACAAAATTCCAAATTTTTTACATTAATCTATGCTAAATATTAAATCAACTAGAACAAGGTATGTTCTTTTTTTTTTATACAGGTGTACTTTTCCTTATATTTGATTTAGAGTATAGATAAACTTACACTCATTGACTTCACATCGTCAGATTTAAAATCTTAAATAAATACGTATTATTTATTTACTTTATTTTGTAAACTTTGTAAAACACCTAATTTTCCAAAACGAACATGAAATGGTGTACAACAAAGTGTTCCATCTTCTTGTTGAACAACAATAATATCAATAGCACCTATATAATAAAAAAAAACAATAAAAAAAATTCAATTATTATTTCATTATATCTACCATTAAGTGTTGACGGATTGATATTTCTATAAGCTGTTGTAATTGTTGAAATAACTTTACGTGTTATTGAAGTCATTTTTTTATTTAATTTTAATAATCATATAACATTTATAACTTTTACTAAAAAATTCAAAAGCTATTATATATGAATTTAAAACTTATGTAATCGAATGACTCATATGACACATATATGTGTATATTACAAAAGAAAAATCTTCAAAAGATAATGAATCATTATAGATGATTTCTCTTATCACGAATAACAACAAAAAAATTATATATTCAAAAATGAACACATAAAGTATTGATTGTAAAGGTTTAACAAAAACCTTCAATGTTAATAGTTACCAACGAAAGTAAATAGGAACGTTTGACACATGCTCGATTCTCTCATCAAGCTTCTATGTAGTGAAGGCGAAGGTTATCTATAGAATATACCCGGTTATATAAAAGAAAGAGAAGAAGAAAAAAAAAAGCGATCGGATGGTTTGATTGGCTTGCAGGAAGAAATATGTAAAAAACAAAGATCACATATCGATGAAAAAAAAAAAAACAAACAGAAGCAATTGTTTAAAAACCATCTGTATTCTTTTATGACCCGATGATCATTATAAATAACACATAAAAAAAAACATACCCAAAAATGCTTGATCTTCATAAAAAAAAAAAAGAGAGATCACTGTTAATAAATGAGAGGCAAAAATAAATCTACAATAATAATAAATATTTTATATTGAATATCTTTATAAAATAATAACAAAAAGTTTCTCTATATCATACTGTGTCAAGAAGGAATTATGTAACTTTCTTTTAATAATAGCAACAGCATGACTTCCTTTCTTTTGAAATGTTTATTAAAACAATGAATATAACTAGAAAGAAATAAACTAAAAACCGATTGTATTTTATCATGGTATACTTGATAGTGATTTATTTTTTTACACTTAATCGATACGGTCTTCTTCTTCTTTTTTTCCCCTCTTTGAATAAAAAAAAACTGTAGATAACGTTTAATTATATGCTTTTAGTGGTACGCAGAATCAATCATGCAAATGTATTTGTTTAGTAAAGAAGAAAAAAAAACACACAGATGAAAACTAGAAGAAAAAAAAACTAATGAATATGTAGGTGTAAAAACTTTCAATAATCTATTAGATTGAAATAATAGATGGTTAGTTGAATTTAATCTTTTAAAAAAAAACTATTTAACTTACACAAGTTTTCAAGTAAAAATCAGTTACTCAATATATATATGTTATCCTTAGGAACCCGGTTATTTCCTATCTATGCTTTGTATGAATAAAAGTATTCGCTATAAATCCATCGAATACACGTGAATGAAGACCTACTATTATCGAAAGAATGATCGACTACTAACATGTACTTTACTTAAACAAATATCAAAAGGAAAATTATCATGATTCATATATTGATTTAAAAAAAAAAAATCTTTCGTCATAAATGTTTTTTATTTATGATGACGTATGTACCGAAGAAAAAAAATGATTATTTCAACAATTTCTCAATTATCTATTAGGTAAACTTTTAATTTCTCATATTACAATTAAAATAAAAAAAACAAAAGATAGTTTTTGTTCCAAATAAATTCATTGGACTTTTTTTTTTGACGTTCTACAATGGAAGAAAAAAAAAAAAACAAAAGAACAATTTTGAACTATTTACAAATTTTTAATCACAGATTAGTTCAAAATTGGCATTTGTGAAATATAAGCATATTGTTGTTTTAATTCATATTGTTTTTTAATTGATTGTTTTATTGTTATATTCATAATTATATTATCTAATAATTGATTATCTAACATAATAATTTCTGTTCGTCTAACATTACCAATAAAATCCGTTAAAAGTGTTTTATGATAATCACGTTTTATAAATAAATCTGTTCTCCATGTTACTTCTGATATACATAAATGTTTAGGACAACAATGAAAAAAATCATCAATTGTTTTTTGTGAATCTTGTTTTAATTTTTCAAGAAATTCAAGTGCATAATATGTAAAACGATCAATAACATAAACACCTATTTTAGGATCAACATGATGTGATAATGAATCTTCACCACGTTTTGATGATCCAACAGCTAATATATTAGGTGAATAAAATTTTTCAAATAATGTTGATGCTTGACATGTATCAATAACAAATAATAATTCATGATAACGTTTTTTACGCCACATTTGTTCAATAACATCAGCTAATTCAATAGCTGATATTTCTTCATTATCTTGAAATTTAAGAAAACCATCACCACCATGTCCTGTCATATAAATAAATATATTTGAACTTTCATCAGATAATAAACGTTTTGATACAGGTGTAACTTCAGGTAAACGATTTGTTAATATACGTACAAAATTTTCAACTGTTACATCATAACCACGATAATCAACTTCAACATTATCACCATAAACATTTATTTGTTCATCAACATTATTAAATATTTCAGCTGGACGAGGATTACGTGAATTACATGCCATATCATCAGCTAACATTAATATTATATTTGAATCAGGTATGCCTAAAAATAGATAATTATGAATATTCTCTTTAATAATTTTCTTTTAAAATCTCTTTCATTTTTTTTTGTCAAACGACAAATCATATTTTATAGAAAAATTTTTACTTTTAATATCGCGACATGTATCAAAATTCATCATGATTATGAAACTTTACAAATACGGAAAAATATTGAAATCAAGATTATTTTTTTTTTTTTTTATGGAACACTTCTATCGATCATAAACAACTTATTGCAAAGTACCATATGCAATTAGAAAAAAAAAAACAAGAATTCTTTTCAATACTACGTTCTATTCTCAAAGGAATTCTGTAAAGTTTTTCATCTTGTTTGATATTAATAAAATTTCCTAATTAAATTAAAGAAAATCAAAAATTTAACTATTTTTGAATTATCTATTTATATGAGATAAAAAAAGAATTTTTTACCAAGTCGTTTAACACTTCGATAAATCGAAAGTACATTAGCAACATGTCGATAATTAAACCAAAAACGAGATGTATCAACAAGAATAGCCCAATTATTTGTATGACGTGTTGTTGATTCAGCAAATTTTTCAAATGGATCAATAGCAGATGTAAGGAAAAATAAAAGTATTGTTAAAAAAAATTTTAACAACATCTAAAAATAAGAAATATAATAATTACATTCAAATAACAAAACTCAACAAAGTTTAATCGTTCTACTATCTTTAGATCTATGACGAGTAGAAGATTTAGATTACTTCTATAACTTTTTTTTGTTTTTCTGATTACACTAGAATTATATTCAATAGTAGATCTTCATTTTTCTATTTAATTAATCTTGAAATTTTAGTTTATGATATCGAATAATTTCTCTTTTGTTTATTTATTTGTATGTCAATCATAGAAGAAGAATATGGATCGGAAAAAAAAAATTATTATAATCGAATGATATTGAACATCATAAAAATATCTACCAATTAAAAAATTATTAGAATCCTTCATATGTTGATGAATTTAAGTTTACATTATTGTCCAATGAAAAAAATCCGATAGATGACAGACATAGATTGCATCAATAAGTGTAGTATAGTATTGCGCTAACATTAATAGAATAAATTCGATCATTATTAACTACTAATAATACTCAAACGAACATTTTGAAAATGGTAGCAGTTAGCGACAAAAACAAAATGTATGAAAATGCTCTTTGATTAAGATCAAACTTTTTTAATTTTAACAATAAGTTTTACAAGAGTTATATGTTTCGGGAAATATGAAAACAAACACGGATATATTTCAAATTATTTTATATTCGTATTCGTCTTATCTTTCTGTTGTAATCTAGAGCTAGCTGAAAAGGCTAAAGCTTCGTTTCAGAAACGTTGTGCAGATGGTGGAGATGTCAATGACATTCATGAAATACCTATGAATGATCTTCTCACCATTACTAAGATGAAAAATATTATCTATGATATAACCTTCACAGCTGCTAGTATTCATCCATATAAACTGATTCATCAACTTCTTCATACGTACATCGAACAAGAAATGAATTTGCAAATAAACACGCCTATTCTCACAGAAACTTGACTTCCGTCAGGACAATGGTCGATTATGACACCACGAGGTACAATACATG